AAATAATGTCGAGTAAACATTAATATACGTTTAATGTTTTTTAACGTTATTAAAATNCTTAATGTTTTTTAACATTATTAAAATGTTAATATTAAAAAATTTTACATGGGAACAGAAGAATTTAATTTTCATCCATGTAGAAAATTGACGATAAATATTAAAAATAATTACTTTATAAAAGAATAAAACTTTACATGTAATCATTTGAATCTTAGTTCTTTATGAAATAATCTTATAAATTGTATTTGACAATAATCAACACTATTATAAGAAAAATATTTAATTTTATAAATTAACTGTTAATCAGCTATTAAAGACTTCAACCCACGTATCAAAGTCATTGATGTGCTTTTAATACTCAATATTGTTGTAAATTCCAAGTATCTTCCAAATCTTATTACGAAGAAATTCAATTACAAGTTATTACTTTTAGATTTAAGGAATCGTTATTAAGTAGAATTATTAAAATCAACCTATCATGCGAAAACTTATACTTCACTTGGTTGAGTTTGAAAAAAAAGATTTTAAAAATGTACTAAATTACTAAAAGTAAACAAATAGGTGTTACAGATAAAATAGTTGAAAATAAAATTATTAAAATCAGTAGTTTTCTTTTTATCGAAAGTTTTTAAGTGAATTTTAGCAGATTCAAGGAGAATGAAAAAATTTTTCGAAAAAAATNTAGCAGGTTCAAGGAGAATGAAAAAATTTTTCGAAAAAAATGCCAGTGTTGTCTTATAGAAATTGTCATTTTTGAACTACAACATAACAAATCTTTCTCGTAAAATTTAATTATAATTTTACAGAACATAATAATAATAAACAGAAAAGATATATTTCTTTAACCATACGATAATATTCTTTAAAACTAATTTTTGTGAATTATGAACTTTTAGATATAAGCCATTGAAACAAACTGAAGTTATTTTATTCAGCTTAGTAAATAAAAAAGAACATTTGAATCAGTTAAGAATTAAAATAACTTTATGTCATATTTTTTAGAGCTAGCATAAAAAATGTTTAAATTATAATAATAGTCATTTATATCTATACATTTTGATTAAAAATATTTACTTATATAATATCTCAATAAAAAAACTGCAAATTAATATCCTCCACGTAAAACTGTTTAAGTTAAGCTTTTATTTAAAATTGATATTTACCCATATAAAATAATAAATATCGGTTATTATAATAAAAAAAGAGTTGAATAATTTTATTAATTCGAACAAAACTATTATCATTGTATCTAACTGTATAATTTATATAGTTTGACTATTTTTATTCATAATGCGTCAACGATATTTAATGTCATTAAAAATATTTCGCAGTGTTTTGCCAATAATTCAGAAAAAAAAACTGGTTTAAAAAACCCGATTTCTATTTACTGTCAGCTGTTAAAAGAAATATTTTTCGAGTATATTACTCGAAAAATATTTCTTAAATTAAATAATATTTATTTAATTTAAAACTCAGTTATTAAAATAAAAAACCTAAAAATTGTTTCTTGCTTTAACAGATGGCTGAATGGAAATGAGCGTAGACTAAAAATATTAAGACAAAAATTACCAATAAATTATAATTTTAATTAAATTATTAACGCACTGGGACTAAAAACTGAACGGGTGTTAAAAACATTTGCGTTTAGGAAAACCCTACTCGGCGAACGAACCCATAATATAATAAGTAAATTATTATGAAATGAGGAAGTTTTTTTTCCGTATTTAACTGCGGGATTTAAACACGAGAAGTGGTAAAAGCCATGAATATTGTTATTGTAATTTTTTTTAATTCACGGAAATAAAATAAAAAGGCTTACTATTGTAACATAAATAGCTTTAGCATTTTCAGGGTAAACAGTGTTGTCCGAAACTATGAATACAATCTCTGACTTGAGTATACATTTATTTTATGTATTTTAAAGTTTAATTGTGCGTTATACTCTGATCAGTGGCTACTGTAAAACTTAAACCCAGAAACGCCAAGATGGGAAGTAAATTAATGTGTGAAAGGCCATGAGACGTTTAGTAATCGGATAACCAACACACATAATATCACCAAAACCGGTTGTTAAGCACAATATAACACAAAATAGTCATAAAAACTGATAAAATAAAATTTACATAAAAAGTTAATGTTTATATAAAAATATAGATAATAGATATTTAACACAAGATATCCATAGGAAAATCCTTTAACAATATGGTTCACGCTAAATAAAATATTCTGAATGAATTTTTGCCATTGTATTTTTAAATATTAATATATTTTTAATAAACTTCAATCTCCGGAATAATAATATTAAAAAAACTCGACGAAGGGTTAAGGAAGAAAATGTACAAAAATAAAAACGTTCTAAATTTATACATTTCAAGATAAATTTATTTTTGATTGAAATAAAATCAACTATTACTTTAGAAAATTACAGTTTTCACTACAAGTATGTCGGAGATAATTCAAGTTATTTTTAATGAAAAAATTGAAAAGAAAATTGCATGCCATAGTGAATTAAACTAGACTAGAAATATATTTTATATTTATGTTTCAACATTTTATTGCTACAATTTTTTCGTTGAAGCAGATACAAGAACAGTAGTCGCGAGTTTTAATTTCTACCACTTTCACACCCAAGCGTGCATTTTATTTCAAGATTCCGGTCATTATTAAAGCCCCAAGGGATTAAACCGACGGTAAGTATTAAAAGGTCTTCACCCCGGTCGCAGGTTATTTCACTACAAAAACGCTCACAGTGCAAAAAATAAATAAAATTCCTTTTTTTTTAGAGGAAGTAAAAATTGAAGAGGACATCTTTCTGTACTGATAAAGATGACTCGGAAAGTTTTTCTAGAATGGAGGTATTATAATTATAACCGTAATGAAGTTTTGGGACCTCAATGCAGGTACTAAAGTTGACATAGCATCATTTTAATAAATAACGCTCTCAAATATCAAAAAAAAAAAGCCGCCTGATATAATTAAAGAGTGTAAAATTTATAAAAATAAGTCCGACGACAGTTTTTACAAATGAAAAACTCGTGATTATTTAAATGGTTAACATGTAAAAATAATTATGCATAAATATTGTTATTGTCATCCATTAATTAATAACGACATCAAATTAGTATCATGATTTAATTTAGGCGTTTTATGAAGAAAGTATAGAACGTTGCTATAATGATAGTAGGTATTTTATTAAACATAATGAGTATAGTTTTTAGAATTGCTGTACCGATACATTAAATTACCATTAATTTTAATAATGAGATAAAAAACAAAAAAAATATATATTTAGTATAGTGTGAAATATTCATTGAAACACTTTGGTTTTAGATTTTAAACAAATAATAAAGGTTTTTTAATATTTATATATTTTTTTAATATAATAATTTTTTATTTCGCGTTTTTAACAACTGTCAATTGACAATGATTATTATAATTGGAATTTTTCGAAATTTATAAGAAATATATGTATAATTTTTATATATTTCTAAAGCATTTAGGTTTTTGATTTGAAAAAATAAACGAAGTCTAATACCCAATATCACCACTCGAACATCAAACGGTAAGTGATTTTAAAACGTCAGTTTTTACAAGTTCCAATGGAATATCATGAAAAAAACATTTCTTTAGGTCCCCTTAGGGTAGTTAACTTATGGTTAAATAAAACTTGTCATTTTGATTTTACTTAAGAACATTTACATAAAAGTATTTCGATGCTTTATAGAACAACTTCAAAGTTTAAATAACATATTTTTGATATGTGAAAATGGGTTAGATACATTTATAATTAATATATACAGGTTAAAATGCCAATTTCGGAGTTTGGAGACCAAAAGCGTATTAGGGAGTTAAGTTAATATTTCACTTTCATTGGTAATGCTCTTCTATAATTCTTTAATCCTCTAATCCCAATGATTATTTAGATAGTTTTACCACCTCATGGAAATCAGCAAAAAATTGTATGGAAAATTTATCTAGCATACCTTTTGTTATTGCTCCTAAACAATAAAAATGTATTTACTGATTTATCTTTTGTTTTTTCTGTAGATAGGTAATAAGTTACACGCCAAGTTACCCATCTAAAAATCAAAATTTAGCAATAGCCAGCCCTGCTAATTTTTACGATTATGAAACAAAATAGAAATACAATGACTATAAAATTGTTTATGTCATGGTAATGCATTTTTACGACTTTATGAGATTATGAACAACATAATGATGATAACTCATGCTATGAGCNTATGAGATTATGAACAACATAATAATGATAACTCATGCTATGAGCAGTATTATGGAATAATTCACATTTATTATGAAAATATTAAACTATTTATTGCATAAAACTGATAAATAATTTCAGTAATGAATCGTATATAAAATTTAATACTCAATTACCTAGGAAATATCCAGATAAAGGTATTTTAAAAAGAAAAAAATATTGAATTCGATCTGTATAAATACGTTTGGGTTGGTTTGGTCAAAAACAAAAAAACAAAAATAATAATAAAAAGTTTTAATTAAGTATCCAAACGAGTAAAGATGATAATAAAATATTGAAATTGATCATTTGAAGTGACTTTGGCGTACATTTTTTTTTTTTAATAATGTATATTAAAATTTAGTCTATTAATATGAACTTTGAAATCCATATAATTCACATTTAATCACTATTTATATGGTTTGTCAGTATCCTTTGAAAAACAATAGGTCTTTGTATTGCACCTACAGTAGTATTTGCATGCAGTCTGTACATTAGATAATTATTATATAATTTTGTAGTACTGACCATTAGGTGAAATCCCATTATTAAAGACTTTGATTAGCTCTTTGTATATTTCAAAAAAAAAACTGAAATTTAAAGCTAGTTTGAATATTAAAAGAGATACTTTATGTGATTTAAATTAACATAGTCCAATAGAAACAAGGGTCTTTTTTATCCGATTGAAATAAGAGTTCATTACTAAGCATTATTTTTAAGTAGAAACACAATAAACTATAATTAACGCATTATTGTATTATTGTTTTTTTTTCAGTATTGACACCAACGAAGAGCTATCTCTCTCGATTTTTATAATGATTATTTTTACCTGTAAATTCCAATCGAATCCACCCACGTTTACGCCGCCAGCGTCTCTGTAATGAAACTCCAACGTCGTATCGTCAATCACATCAATCACAGGGCACACCACAGTTGAAGCTTCCCTGGCTATTCTGTCTAGCAACGGCTCAAGCCACCCTAAAAACACAAGCACCCGTTTATGTGTAAAGCGTTCACAGAAAGCTTTGTTTACCAAATTACATGCTGTTTGGAGAAAGAAACAATGGAAAGGCATTTGGATGAGATATGTTTCAATCAATAATTACAAGGGAAAACTTAAATGAATCAAATTTATGAAATATTGAAGTTATTAAAAGTGTAATACTGAATACTAATGAAAGTTAAGACAGCTAGTCATTCCTCCAATGTTGGGTTGATCTAATATATTACTCGTTTTGTTTTGAGAACTTTTGTTTAAATTAATTATCTCCATATTGCTTTCAACGCAAAGGTTGTCTTGCAAAATGTCTTAGCTTATCACATGAAAAGTCATTTGAATGTTTATTAATTTTTCATACACTAAAGGAATGTAAACCCGAAAAGTTTTTGAAATGAATCCGTTTTCTCTCGAAACAACTAATAATATTTATAACGTAGGAAATAACAAAAAGAGGAATTCCACCAAATGCTACAAGAGGGTTGTTGTGTTTTGGTATATGATACAAGTTTTGAAGTTTATTTAAGCTTGGATACAAATAATAATACTTCACGTATAAAAAAAATCTTATGGGAATAAAATATAATTTTTTATTTATATTTTATAGTTGAATGATCTTTTAGACACTATAATCACAAAAAAAAGTTGACATAAAAATATTTAATTAAAATTTTAAATACAATTAAAATTGAGAGCATTTTAATTGGATTCCTAAATCATAACGTGAAAATAAATATTTTCTCCTTTTAACCATATAATTGATTTTGTTACAAAACAAAATGAAACACGACATTTCTCGAGTTTAGTTAGTACAATTGACTCGATCAATTAGTCAAACAAAGGTAAACAATCGTTAGCCACAAAGAGTGCACAGTAAAAAGCAAGACGAAAAACTTTTGTAAGAAGCAAACACAAATATTTTTCCGCATTTAATACAGTCGTTGGCGTATGAAAAACTACCAAACACGAACGGATTTCGAACACGGTTTGAACCAATGTATTGTTGCCGTGTTATTTCGCCAGTTGATTGTCATCAATTGAAATTTATCACTACGTTTGTCTCCCACTGCGAGCTAACAAAATAGTGAGATTACGTAGGAGAACAAGGGATTCCCCATCACATCGTATACAGTCATGCCCCAAAGTTTGTTGGCGTTTTTATTGGCCACTAAATTTTAACACAAACGACCGTTTTCGAAATCCGAATGTGCCGCGACAAGTATATAAGAAAAAATAATAAAAAAATAAATCCATGCTCTGATTGTGGTTACCTTCGGTGCACTCGCAGTGCGAGTCGAGATAAGTCAAGACCGGTGCGGAGGCGTGTCTAGCACCCATTAGTCTGGCTCGTATCAGTCCCTCTCTCTTGGCTGCCCGAATAATTTTTACTTTTGGATAGTTTTCCATGTACTCTTCGAGCTGTTTTTTAAGATGAGCTGTAAAAATAAATAAGAATTATTAAATCAGAAGGAGTTTTATAAAAATAAACAGTTTTNATCAAAAGGAGTTTTATAAAAATAAACAGTTTTCTGCAGATTGGCAGGCTATCTATTAACGATGGTTTATGTTGTTATGTTTCAGAGCGCTCACGCACAATCATTATAGAATCGCACTTGCGTTTCTTGAAAACAGTAATTATAACTACTATAATTACAACAACTGTAATTATATAGTACACGAGCAACTATTGACTTAAATACCTTTGTAAGTTTATGCATATATTGTACTAATTGTGCTCCGAAATGTGATTCATTATAATTCCCGTTTTGAAAATTGACACGTCTATTATGGGTTTTCATACGGTTGAAACATTAAGTTTTTATAGATGGCATTGGCATAATGTATGCACGCGCATTAAGAAACTGGCAAAAGAAATACGATACGGCGGAAGACTTTTGACTTGGTAAAAACACTAGGAAATCTGAGTAATGACGTATTACAAATGGAAGTTATTTGTGCTGAAGTCGCTCCACCGGAAATGGCGTAAACATTCTTATACGAATGTTATTAATTGAATAATGCAGATTTTCTCGTATTCAGTAATTATATTTCATTATAAAACACAATAAAACGACATACATCGCTTCCTGATATAATTAATGTATACTTTCCGATCGTTAATCTCGACTACCTTTTAACGGCACTGCTCGAAACAATATTTTTCAATAAGTTCAACGGCATAGGCATTATTATTTAATAAATTTGTTACAATTACGAAGTACAATAGTAAAATTAAAATTAAAAATGTTTTAACGGTACTGAAATAACGATTTCTATTGGGTTGTAGTAAATTGGTTGACCAGCATTGTCGAAGAGTTGAACATTACTTTTTTTTGAATACTACAGACAGAAAAAATGGGCAAAATAAATGGGAATGGGTTGTTTGAACTGCGTGTATCAAATAAATTAGTTTTATGTTGTTTTTCCTACGATGCTTCTGGACACACGTTCATCTATGATTGGTGTACAATATACAATACAAATTTTAAATTGAAAAATAATTATCAAAAAGCTATAACTGACGAACCAATAACTATAATATGTGTGATTAATGATGAAGAATAGTGTCAATATTAGTGCGTACATAATTCAACACCGCTGTAGAAATTTATATCACAACTAAAACAGTACAAAACAACATGAACATATATCATCAACTAAAGTAATAATATTATTACTTATTTCGACAACAATCAGAAAAAAAAATTTTTTATTGAATAACGTTCTTAGAAATAAATCATGAGTATAGATAAACATTTGATTGTTTAATTATTCATATAATTTTCAGTAATAACTCGAATATGTGAATATGTACAACAATAACACTTCTATGTTCAAAAAATAGTACTTATTAAAGTAATATTTAAGTAAATTTCATGTAATCATAGCAGCAACGAAAGACATGTAGAATTTGCTAAAACTTGTATTTATATACAGCAAAAAAGCTTACTTTTTTCAAATAATAGAATTTTTTTTAATGTTTATGAAGTTCTATTATAGTATAGTATAGCATTACAAAATGTACGCATCTTATAAATATCAACAATCCCATCAAGAGAGTTTATGTTTCATTATTATAATTTGTTCAATGAATTGGCAAAACAATTCTGGATTAAGCCGGTTGAAATTCTAGTTAATAGCCAGNTGAAATACTAGTTAATAGCCGGAAGTAGATGCTAAGGAAGATTGTCCAAACAAATAAAATCTCATCACTGATGCAACCACATTATTGATTTTGTGTTGATATAATTATAGATGAAGGGGCATGTAATATTTGATTTATCAAGTTCAACAATACAGTAATTCTTTACTTCAAATAAACAACAAAACAATGAATATAGTTAAAACTTAGTTGCCTGTTTAGTAAATATATTTTATAAGAATCACTTTTACTCAATATTTTTTAAGTAGAACAATAAATTTGATTTCTAAGAATATCAATACAAATAAAATTTATTTGTAAGACAATTAGCAAAATTGTACTTTTAAGTTATTGTAACAAAATAATAATTCTATTTTAATAAATAAAGTGAGTATTTTTTATTAACTTGTTTCTTATAATACAATTATTAACCTATTAATTGTAAAAAAACAATGGGTTTAAGTAAAGAATTATAAAATTATTTTTTATTTACTCATTAAGTAATTATTAATTACTAAGTTTAGTGTTTTAGTAAGTAAGTTTTTTTTTAATATTTTAATAATAACTTATAATTAATACAATGGTATTTTCTTAAATTTTAAATACGGTGAAAAACAAAAGTTTTTTTTTCAAAAGAAAAAGACTTAAAAATATTTTACAACGAATATTTTTTTTTCATGCTGTGAAATACTCATTTTGTTATTACAATACATAAATTATAGATATCCTAAGACTTAACATTTTTAAAAGTTAGAAACATTAAAATAGACTTCAAAACTGTATCAACAGCTATTTATGTTCTAACCTATGAATAATATAACAAATAAAAAAGTTGATTCCTAATATTAATTTTAAATTGAAGAAAATTATTTATAAATATATGAACATTATCTATAAATTATATATGACAATATCTATAAATAAGCTACTTGAATTTTTAGCATATAAACATAAAGAAAAAATAAAAAGTTAAAAAAATGACTGGAGTGTACCACAAATGCCTATCTATAACGCCGTTTCACTACAGTTAGTTTGTTTTAAAACATAAAATTCTGTTATTATATATTTACAATTTTTTTTTTTTTGACTTATCATTTGACTTTAACGATCAGTCAACCAGACGCGGACAGGTAAAATGGCGTCGCTATTATTATGTACTACGAAAACATTATCATAATGAATGCAATTAAATTTGAAATCTCAAATACACATATACACACACACACATGTATATAAAGTGATCCATAAATGATAACAAAACAATATAAACTATATTGAAAAAAAAGTTTATTTTTAATTTACCATATTTCTTAATAAGTTATTAATTATTTTACAGCATCATCTCTTATAACTTATAGGAGTGTTGAGGGATGTATGTTGTAGCTCTCGTGGTAACCCCTGTTTAGTTGTGTTATTAATATTTGATAAACTTGATGGCCATATCACAAGATATGTCCAGAATGATTATATAAAGCTAAACAGTGTAAACCAGGCCAAACGTTCACACACTTTTCTTGGGTTAAAAAAGGGCTGTAAAAACAGCCCTTGATCCCTTTGACTATTATGCCTTTCAAGAGATCCGAAAAATCAAAGTACAATAAATATAAGAAAAATCTAAAGCCGGCGTAATATCGTTTATTTACCAATACGGATACCTCTCATAGCATGAAATAGGGAGGTACGGTCGATAATGAAAATAGAGAATTACTTTGAAATTGGGCTACCACAAACCGGTATAAGTTGATTTATAATGCTAAACAGCAGGGCCTCTTTGAACCCAGAAGCAGAGGCACAAAATCATCTCCAGATTTATGTTGCGTGCCTAAAGGTCAAAACTTACTTCTTAATGTAAACCACGTAATATGAAACAAATTTGCGTGAAGTCAACATTACCCAGTAATCGTGTTCGTCAGAATTATAATACTAATAATTCAATAATACTAATACAATCTATGCTATGATGGAATTTACGCAAAGTGAATTGAGACGTCTTCACAAAATACGGCCAGGAAAATTTATATTGAATAAAATCATACACGTTAAATTACATTAGATTTGTAGTATTTAGTTTACCCAATATTATAATATCTATANATTTAGTTTACCCAATGTTATAATATCTATAGTCACCAAAAAAAAAAAACAGGACTTAATTTTTTTACGTATAAACAAACATATTTAACTGGATTAAGTAATAGGAAATCACTATTTAAGAAATGACGAATCGGTAATAACTTTTGAATGAGTACTTCATAAGTTATAATGATTTTCAAATACAGGCTAGAGGGAATACGTTAATATGACTATTTATATCATTAAACATTTCTCAGCCACACTTTTCTTCCCGTCAACGTGTAAAAATGTTAATAACTTTCGAAGTACTATTCTAAAAGTTGTTGTCGATTCATTTTTATCTCAATTACATCATTTCCTATTTTCTAAGCTAGTTGTTTCGGTGTGATCTCTTACGACTAAAAGATCTTCGATAAATTAAATGAAACGTAAAAGAATTAAAAATATAAATATGCGTTTATTATATGTACGCGAGCGGTGCGCTTTACAAAGGTAGACTAACTGATTTTAAACCCGGACGAATATGCAGCCGCCGAACAACGATAAGATAAAACAACAATAGATACACTTATTGTGTAGGCCTAAACACACCGCCCGCCTTGAAATATTTGTTTCAAAGTAAAAGATAACAAAAAACAACTATAATCTAAGAACAAAATTCGCAACAACTAAAAACGTAAAAAGTAATACATAAATACAAAAAAA